ATAGACCAAAAGCGTAGCAACTTTGCTTAGTTTAACATAAAGGTATAAAAGAACAAAAAAAATGGTCGATTGGCAACATTTCGTGTTCGAAGTGATGCATCCAGCCTGTATTAACCTCAAAAATGAGCAACGGTGAATCTTTACCACTGCTTCTTCTGGAAAAGTGGAACAGCGAAAATTCCCAATAAAAAGCCACATCCACCCAGACACTTCGCTTTTGGCTCTAATAAAGGGTACAACTGCACACCTCGGTTTGATTTTGTTAAGTAAAACAGCGTGTCGATGCAAAAGATCACCTCTTTGTTCTTCACAGTTTAACAATGCCGACTGACAGGTTTGAGGTGAATTTTACAAGTTAAAGGTGATTAGGAAAATGGACACTTTTGTAGCACCCCAAGTGACCCACTCACACGTGGAAGGCATTCACAGCGAGTGTGCGGTGGGCTGCAGTCCCATTTGTCCACCCTGATCGAGTGTTGAGGACCTCTGGGAAATGTGCACGAAACTGGACTGCTCAATCAGCTGAACAAAGTCCACTAATGCGTCAAAGTAAAATCGGAATACTGCATTGCAGCAGTATTATAGCATAGTTCGTCCAAAAAAGATCAAACAGTTGGCAACGAAGTTGATCGGGAAAAGAAATCTCACTTCTGAAGGTGAAACAGTTTTTGACGATGGGCTTAGCTGTGAAATTTTAGTTAAATAAGCCACTATTTCATAATGTGGCACCGGAACAAGTCAGACCAGTTGACAAGATTCGGTTAGTCTTACCCATCAATTATTAACAGTCTTGAAACTGAATTTGCAAAAATCTGCAGGTTGAAGAGTTTTAAGAAAAAGATTTACCGCCACCGAATTTTGCACAGCGGACGTAGGTTTGTAGAGGTTGCAGGAGTTGTCTCAGCAGTCAGAAAATGAAGTGACTTTGAAAAGAATTTAGTCCAAAAATTCACGCAAGCCCGAGGCTTTCAATCGGAGTAGGGTGGTCGACTTTTCCCCCTCTCTAATTTTTTACATGTCACTCACTGGGCGCAGGTGAGTTCAACGCGAATCCACCGCACTGCGCTTAAAGTGGAGAGAAAGCTGGTGGCTCCTTCACTTTTTTCACCCTCTCCACCCCCCGATCAGCGTCTCCGTTTTACTAGGTGAGGAAAAACGGCCTCTTGTCACCTACGCTCACATTCACCCTCTCGGTGCTTGTGAAAAAAAGGCGAGAGGATGAAACAAAACACATATGAGGGGAAGGGAGGAGGAGTGTTGGTAGGCAAAGGATTTTTAGTCATAGTGCATCTACATGCACACATTCACCACCGGCAGCAGGTCCATCTTCCCCTTGCCGTAATCACCACTGTTGCTTTCCCCCCTTTGCTTCAATCCTACGGACGCCCTGAGAGGTCGTGAAGCCTGGGAAAATGCCAGTCACTCTGGAAGCTCAAAGTTGGATGGCCTCTGTATTACGTCTTTAATTTGTTGCATTTTGAGTCTCTTCTCAAGAGAATTAGGATTTATGGAGCGTTTTAAATGCCCTGCAATCTGTTGGATGCTTTACAGACAAATTTCAGTTAATTGCGGAGTTGTGCCACGCACGAAGCATCTCGTTTGCATCCAACTTTCAGTAGACGCGTCTCTATCGAGTTTCCAGATTAGCCACTTCTCAAGCCACCTTGTAAAGAGTAACTTCATCACCTCCCAAACCGCACCATCTGCTCATTGTGAAAGAAACTGCTGCTTATAGTGGGACATTTTAAAGTTCATGGTCATTCAAGAGCGAATTTTTAAAAATTACTTTAAGTAAGCTAAATTTATTGTGTGGCGCCAATCCCCTCCACTCAGTGCAGTACCTTTGTTGATGATAAAAGCTGAAGCACCCGAAAAATAATCAGAAGGAGTTTGGATTCTTGAAGTGAAATGATTTTTCTTGAGGTCCACTCGACTTGTCCAGTCCCTTTGCCAAACGGTAGCCACTCAAGACCTTAAATTTGTGTAACTCTGGAACTTCAGGAACTTCCATGCATATGGTAAAGGGCCTTGAATACTCGACAGTGCGGTGATTGGGTTCCAGAAAGTGGACGTCGGCTTTATTGCTGCATGCGTGTGTGGATGTTTCATGACCTTACAACGACAATAATAGTGGTTTTTTTCTTCTCCAAAACACTAGTCTGTTTTGCTCTAAGGTCAGACACGGTCGGACTTTTATTATCACAAATGAGAGAGAGAAATGAAATGCCACTGTAGCCATAAATTAGACCACGCTTTATGCCCGGTGGATGGATGGGTGATGTATGCGTCCGGCTGCTGACGAATGTCAGCCGCGTGATCCGCATTACTTATGATGCTTTTTATTACTCCAACCCTACACGGAAGCCCTCTTCGGTGCGAATATGCACCCTAACGAAGTGCGGTTGTAAGTAGGCGTGTATCGAGGTCTGAAGTTCTCTCATTTCCCAGCAAATTAGCCTTATAATGTGTCTACAATGTTCGTTGAAACAACCACCACAACGCATCTCGATGGGACCACAATTCCCCAATTTGACTGAAGATGCGCATTGTTTGAGCAAAACGAAACCCACTGAAACTACACACCGAGCCCTTCTACGAGGAATTCGTGAACCGATTCAGATAAACCTTTAATAAC